TCATATAATACATTTTATTTTTTTCTCGAAAAACTAACTTCGACGTTTACATTGAAATATTTTATATTATTTTATTTTCTAAACATAGCTTTTATGATATTCAGGTCATTAGTATAGAATCTATCTTTCTTTTATTGGGCTTTATCTGATTGTATTCAATACCCTGTTTCATATTAGGTTTGTTTTTTAAACTAATGCTTAATTGATTTATCTAGAAATCAATCATGTTTATAAATTAATCTCTTCTTTTCTCAATATGACGTCTTACACAGATTGTTTACTGTCAAGATCTATTTTCTATTATTTTTCCCTTGTATGATTGATATCTAAGTGTGTGATCGTACTGATATCGACACGACTAGAGTAATGTAATGACTCATCAAACACGATTATCAAGAGTGATGGTAGAGCCTCTGTTACAGTGAGTCACGAGAATATTTTACATAGTTTTGCAAAAACCAATCACTTTCTATATCTGATATTGTTTTTCAAGGTAATGTCTTTTTCATCATACAAAATATATTGTTGTTAATGCATACGCGATTGATGATTGAATGTACTTTTTATCTGGATTGCTAAAAATAAATTACAATGCACTTTGATGTTCTATACCTTCAAAGACATATGATATTTCTTTAAAAAAGTTATAAAAATCATGCGCCGTCGATAAGATTTATCTCATTCTTTTCTTCAGACAAATATATTTTTGCTACCTATTGAATATTTCAACATAGAAAGACAAAGCCGATAATGCTAACAAATGGCTTACATCGTTAATCAACCTGTACATCACGTTTATAAATATACTAGTATATTTTGATTGTGTTTCATCGAAAAAAAGACCCATATTAATCGAATGTTTGTTTAACTACTCGATTCATTGTATTTACCAATAGTTATTAAAGGAATACTATTGAAAAACTACCCAAATAAACATCATTTGTTACTCATATTGATTGCCAAACATGAAAAAGAAAAATCAAGTTTTTTTTTTGCGGAATATTTAAATGCAGCCGTAATCGTTAATTACATTAAATAATATCAATAATCAGTAAGACGATAATCACTTAAAGACCATCTTTAGTCTACTAATAAATGCCACACAAGATGAAAAATTTTCATAAAAAATTGACATGCGGTCATGAGGAGTGCTGCAAGGCGTCCAATTCTAGAAAATTTTCAGTTTTTTCCAGCTCGAACCATAGTTTTTATTAAAAATAATTGTAAAAGCAAAAAAACAAATTTTAACACTTCAGAGTTTTAAAAAATCGTGCTTGCACCTTTTCAATAAATCAAAAGGTTACCTTGCTTCTGCTCAACTTTGTTTTTCTTTCCTATAACCCTAGTATACACTAGCAGACCTCATATATCAAACGCTTGATGATGTCATAGATTACATGAATGTCATGCCTTCATTTAGTCATGACTGAATATCAAAATAAAACAAAAATAAATGCGGAAACTTCGGATTTAAATCCGAGAGTTATGTGTACTTCAAAAAGTGAATCATACAAATCAATCATCCTAGACTGTCTGAATATCAAAATTATACTGTGAAATCTACCATTTAAAATGTTGATTTCTATTGCGCGTTGCCAAACCAATAGGACATGGGATCGAATACAGCTCAAGTTTGAACTCTTTCCCTTGATTTACCTTAAGAAAGTCGTTTTTCCTATAACTTCATTTCTATTGGTCACTGCACAACTAATAGTATTTCGATGGAAGTGCAGTACACATTTGAGTTCTCCATATCTGAAAACCTCGAAGTATCATCAGTGTGCTCGGAAGATAAAGCTCTATTTGTGGATCAATTAGATCGTGGACCAAAATATAACCTAGTTCTCTTCAATTATCCTTGTCATTGGTAACTCAACCTTCTTGTTTCTTTATGTTTTATATATCATTTTGTAGTTCTTGAAATTCTCTATCGAATGGTATATAATAGTTGGAGTTTTAATTGATTATGATAGGAAAAGTCTTACGAAAGTCGCGATGGGTCCATTTTTCCACAGAAAGCTATAGGGAAAAATGGGTATTTTTGCAATAACTCAGGAACGGCTTGGCCGGTCCTTCTCATCTTCGAACTCGACCGAGACATTATCAAGACTAAGCTGTGTAGAAAGTTTCATCGCAATCTGACTCTGCTGTCAAAAGTTATCATGTAAACAGCCAACCGGACGTTTGGACACACTGACTATTCTATAGTGTACTCACTTTTTGAGTACACAAAACTATGATTCAGTTCAAAACTAATATCAGATTCGGAATCAGCGTTAAAAACTGAGTCGATTTATGTATTTTGTGAATAATTATGAGCAAAAACTTTTTTCGAAAAATCCCCATACCCCCTCCTCAGGGATGGTCTGGTCAAAAATCACAATTTTTTCGATAACTCAGCCATTTCTTGACGGATCCTTCTCATCTTCGAACTCGACCGAGATATTGTCAAAACTAAGCTATGTAGAAAATTTCATCGCAATCTGACTCTCCTTTCGAAAGTTATCGTGTAAACGGCCGGCCGGACGGACACACAGACCGATTTTAGTAGTGTACTCACTTTTTGAGTACACTAAAAATGCTTATTCTCATTCATTTACTACACTGATTTCATAGCCTTTAATTGCTCGCATATACTCTTTCATAATGCTCGGCAATCTCGTACTTTATATTACCGGAATTATTCATGCTTTCATAGTTTTTACATCTTTTGTTGATAAAGATACTTTAAAATTAACAAACCATCATCGTATTGTTATACTTCATCGAATGCTTTCCTTAAGAGACGTTCCGCGAAAAAACCGACTATTTTTCTGGACACCGACCGGATGTATGTTTGGTTTTTCGATTTTAATTATATGGTTGGAAAGAGCATTCATTTTTACCGACAGGTCCAAATTTTTTCGTTCTAAAAGTGATCCAAAAAAATTTTAGTCCGAACTGACTTTTTTCACTCTCTGAATCATCATGTAATTTTGCTACCAAATTCAATGAGAGTCGTAATTTGACATTTTCTCGAAAACAGTGAAAGCGACCGAATCTATTCAAGTTTTAGGTGATGACCCCTGATATGTTCTACAAAATACTATGCAATATGAAAAATATATATTGTTGCACTGTAGAGTTATATGGTACTGAAGTTTAAAATTCCTGAAAAAATTAGGTGTAAAAATATTGAATTTTTTCTAGTTTTAGCTCTCTTGTAACTTCAGTTATCAAACCACCAAAAATTTTTTAATCTTACTTTGTAGAGCTTTTCAAGCTGCATCCAACCATATAAAATAAAAGTTCTGAAAAAACCACCAACACTTTGAAAATTTCCCATCAATGGGAGCCCCATCAAGGTTCTAATATATGAATCAGAGGTCCTAAAAGGTCATACTAGTCACTGAATTCAGCCTACATAACTATAGTAAAACGTTTCTAATTGAAAAATCCAAGAGAATTTTCAACTTTCCATTAAATAGAGGTGTGATCCTTCTTTTTATTTGACAGCATGTGAAACTAAGGATAGAACAATAACTGTCCACTTCCAACGGCACGTCTAGTCAGTTGAAATATAAAAAAGCATAGTTTTCAGTTCACTTTAAAATGTCTTCTCTAACGAACAGTCGATTTCAAGTCAAAATCGCTCGGCAAAAATTGGCATCGTTCTGAATAAACAAGTAACTTCATTAAAGAGATAGCTACAATACCTACATGTAAAAACTTCAGACATGCTCATGTAAAATATAATTCATGTTAAAGTCACCAAAGATTCATCTTAAATGACTAAAATCATGGCTCTTTTATCGATTGTCAATTGGTAGCGAATCGACTACAATGAAAACAAATCAAAGTCGATTTGTTATCAATTCCTAATCTATTAAAAATGTAGGATGTTACACTATCTAGAATCAATTTTTTGTATCACTTATGTTACAAGGGCTAGATCTGCATTCTTCATAGCAGCAGAAAATTTAATTCCACATATGGTTATACTTTTGTCACCACTTGGCAAAAAGTTAAGAAATGCTACAACGTGCTTTAGAAAGCTGGTAGCCTCTGAGACCTTGGGGCTGTTCACATATTACGTCATCATTGAGGAGGGGGAGGGATGTACTGAAAAAGTGACAAGTGATGATGGGGAGGAGGAGGGGGTGAACAGCCAAAATGACATCAGCCATAGTTATATCATATAATTCTTTTCTTAGATAAAATGATCGCAAGTGATGCAGTTTTGTGTTATAAACTGTAAAAGTGAAAACGAACGACGATGAAACTGAAAGAAAAGCAGAATGAGAGAAAAAACGCTTTGTCCTTTTATTAGCTAATGCTCTGCATAAAAAACAAGTAACGTTCGTCGCTGCGACTCACTTGACCCTCGACTGTATAAGGCAGAAGTATTTTCTGTGAATACTGATGTGACAGAGTCGGTCTATCGATGCTACCACCGAAAAGCGATCCAATTTCCTTTTGAATTCTAAATGAAAGAAATATTTTTGTCTTTTTGTGAAATAGTTTAAAGTAAAAATCATTGTTCAACTAAAAGTTGTAAAGAAAGCCAAATTATTTATATCAAAGTCAACTTCAATTATGAAACTCTTCGAGTACAATAAATAGTAAGGTATTATGATGTATTAATATATTCTCACAAAATGGTTATAAGAATGTTTAAATTAAAAAAATTTTATTCTAGCAACAGCACACAACTATAATTGATTTATTAGCAATAATGAACGTATAAAGGAGTAGAAAAAGAAGAAATATTTAATAAACATCATTCTATTATCTACTTAAAAAAGAGAAAAAGCAAATTACTAAACAATATAGTATAATAATACGGCTAAAGCAACTACGAAATAAGCAAAGCATAGAGTAAAAGATGTTAACAAAAAGAAAAACTGAGATATAATACAAAAATTAGTACAAGGAAAAACAAAAATTCTAACATACTTTATATAGTGAAAGAACAGATGTTAACAGCTGTAAAAGAAATTTTGTATAACATAAAGAGAACATTAAAACCACTCAGAAAAATGCTTTTGTGTTTCTGAATATAATTTATCTAGTCTTTCTATTTCGGCAAGTTGAGATTTACTTGGTTTGATTAATAAAACCTTGTAGTCAAAATGTCGCAAAATGACCAAATCAGCCAAGCGTTTTACACGTGACAATGGTACATAAATTGCAGCAATGTCATCAGTTTCATTTGGCAGTTTCAAATCAATTACAACATTATTTAAAGTTTGGCCTTGACTTTTATGTGTCGTAATACAATAAGCAGGTACGAGTGGTAGTGCACGCCGCTTTATTGATAAAATTGCCTTTCGATTTGATTTTGGTTTCTTATCTTTTGGTAGAACATCAGCAATATCAATTCGAAATGTTTGTTCCATTAATGGTATCGGAACGAGATTTGGTTGAAGTTGTTCAAGATTACAATCAATCTTCGATTTGAGAACTTCAACTAATGCATACAAAGGTCGATGAATGTATTGTGTGTTGTTTGGAGATGTTTCCGAAAGAATATCTGTTGACACAGAATCTTCTTCATACACTAGTTGTCGAAAAATTCCATTCGTTCCGTTAATAAGCCCCAATTCAATAGCAATGTTTTGTGTTAATATAACAGGCATTCCAGGAACAAAAGGCAACAGACCTGGTAAATGCTCAGTTTTTCTATCGGATAACTCTAACAGTTTTTTAATGAGTGTCGGATCTTCAATTGGTTTGCCTTTCCAAGTATCTTGTGCGACACATACCATGGGTCTTTGTCCCATTTCTTTTGCCTTATAAATTGCTGCCTTGTTGTTCAATTGTGTTCGTACTTCATTTCGAAACACAAGGATCGGGACCTAGAGAGATGAAAATAGAAAATTATTAGAAACGAAAATGAAAACATACTTTATTCCAAGGTGCATCATGCAGAGAGCCTACTGATGGTTGTCTAATAACTCGTGTCAATAATAATTCGTAATCGTCGTAGTTGCATTGTCCATGACGAAGTCTTTCAAACAACTGAAGATACCGTGGATCTTCTGTTTGCATCTGTTGAGTAAGTTTTACGACGCAGTTGATTTGAAGAATTAAAGAACGTGCAACACGTTGTTGAATTTCTTTTTCATTGGGCAATTTACCTGATTTCTTTTTTGATAGTCCTGAAAAATCGGTGTGTAATGGTGCATCATAAACAGGTCGATATTGTAAATAGTCACCGAAAAAGATAACATTTACACCGCCAAATGGCACTTGTGGATCGACATGTTTTGCAGAGCAAATGATTCGATTGAGTTTTGCTAGTAAATTCAAACCAACCATACTCATTTCATCGATTAATAAAAATTCGACGAGTCTCCATTCTTTTTCGAGTTTTAAATCACCTGGCTTGATAGTTCGTGGCTTTCCGGAATTACGTTGTTCTCCCAAAAATGAATGAATTGTCATACCACCTATTTCAGCAGCAGCAATTTCAGTGGGTGCAAGCTTTCGCATCATTTGCATTCTTTTCGTAACAAGAAAGTATTTGCTGAGAGCACGAATAAGTTGTGATTTGCCTGTACCGCCATATCCGGGTATGCACATTATAAGTTGACCATTATTATTACCTGAAAATACTGTATACTTCAATTCCTGATAAATTAAATTATGAAGGTACCTGTTCGACATGGGCTGTCGCCATCAAGATGGCTTGTTATTATCATGAATGCAGCTCGTTGTTCTCTATTTAATGTAAATTCATTAGCGATGCTTTTTTTGAGTGGGAAAATTGGTTGCGACTGAAACGACTGGAAGAATTGAGCCATAGTTTTCAAAATTGTTTTTATTATAATTATTTGGATTCGCCATTGTTACAACAGCATCTTTTGCAGCATGTAAATCTAATATATCATCTGCATTGGCGTAGTTGCCTGTAATTAAACTTTTTCTGACTCGTTCTTTTTCAATCTTCAGTTGTTCTTGCCATTTTGTATTTAATCGAATAAGATTTGGCGTTGCAGAAATGAACGATACAAGCTGTTGATTCGCAGAATCGATAATTTCATTTAAAGAAGATTGGCTATGAGCTATAACAAATTTTACATTTTGTTTTCAATTTCAACTGACTAATGATCTTAATGTATTGCTTACTATTTATATGATTAAATCGTCCAACACTTTCGACTGCTTCAATAGCTTCTTCAATATATTTATCTTCTGTTGATCTTTTTGTGACATTAATCACTGCAGTTGTGTATTCATCTATATTGCCTATTAATTCTAATAAGTCTTCACTATGGTCCATATCATATTCGCCATCAATGTGTTGATTTGCAGGCAAAAGGACGGAATCGGTGATTGTATCATTATCCGTTTGAGCTTCAGTAATAACTTGAAGTAAATGCTCATCGCGATCTTTTCTACATTCATGTAAAAGTTGAATATTTTCTATGATCTTCCATGAACGAATGGAAACACGATTTTGTCGAGATTTAAGAGCATCTTCCCATGTTTGATTGATGTCACAAAGATCTGTAACAGTGCGCCAAGGTACAAAAAGTGTGAGAAGAGCTCGACTGTATCGTTCTCGAGTATCATCACGATCTCGTCGAGGAATTTGTGGACCATAAAGAATAGGTACATGACGCTCACTGTATTCCATCAAAAGATGTGTTGTTATTTGTGGATGCTGCTTTTGAAAAGGATAACGTTGATAATGTGGTCGATCTTTTTCGTTAATTTTGTCTGTCATCGATGTTGCAGCTTCAGATAAATATTTCAAATCTGCTCTGTTCATTTTTTTCTTATACAGTGTGCTGACAAAGTCGTATAAACACATATCATTGAGAACATCGGAGCGATATTGATAATCAATTCTTGTATTAACGAGTACATATTTTTTATCGTTTTCAGTTGATTGAATTTGAAAATGTTCTTCGTTATTGTTTTCATCATCAATACCTTCGTCATCATATACATCATCGTCAATTGCATCTGAATAAAAAAAAATACAATATATATTGATTATTATTTAATGATGAGATTTCATTTCAAGCAATTTTCATCATGTATCATTCACATGTGTAGTAGAAATAGCAGTTAGAATATTTTCCTATTTTATAGTTTAAGTTTTGAGTAACATTATATAAAGCGTTTCGACGACACAAAGATGAGAGAAGAGAAAAACCTATTGTACTGGTTCTCTGTATGACATCTTCAGGAAAAAAGATATATATAAAATGAATATCACTATTACAGACCTAACGATAGCAAACTATATTTTCGATGAATAAAATAACCATTAACTTAATATTTAGAGATAAGTTCCTCTCATGTCTTTCTTCCTCTGCTCATCCTGTTTTATCATTAGTCCTTTTTTCATAATAACTACAAATGCATTCAAAGAAAAAACATACTGACCTTGCATCGAACCTTCGGATTTTTGTTTGGAGCGTAATTCATTCAACTGCGTTTGTAAATACAGTTCGGTTTGAATTAAATAAACGCCTTGAAACTTATGTGTTGTGTAATGATCATCCCAATTCATAAGATATGAAGCAACTTGAACTTCAGATAGCTCTTGTTGAGAAGCAAGTGTATTATAACATCGTAAAACGAGTTTCCGTGATTTTTCAATTGCATCTGCTTTGTCTGTTTGATGCGATGGATTCATATATGATGTAATGCTTTTTTGTACAAGAGCAAATGTATCATGAAAAGAGAGACTCATCTTTGTCACAGAATCAGTAATATAATAAACGAGAGCCTTTGCATCACTATCACTCCAAATAAATTTGATATCCATGTTGGATCGACAAGCCGCAATAAGGTATTCATTAAAATTGTTAATCCATGGATCTGATCGGCGCACAGAAATATGGCCAGTATCAGGATCAATTGTCGAGACTGGCACCAATTTGCGTGGCATACGCAATCGACAAATTTTCTTGTCACCTTGTTTAGGATTAGAATACTTGTAACATGTGTCACTATGCTTGTGCTTGTTGCCTGTTTCGACAAGTTGTACCACATCTGCACGAAAGCGTGCTGCAAAATTAGGTGATGATGGATTTGGAGTTGGTAAGCAAGCTGGAATTAATTTTGATGCATTTTATGAAGCATTTATAACTAAAATATGATCTATACTTTATTTTTTTCTATTACTTCTATTTCTTACTAGATGTTGGTCGATCATGTGTTGGTGTCTGTAACGATTTATTCAATAATGGAGAAGCGTAAGGAATTGAGGGTGAAGCATAAGGAATTGACGGAGAAAGTTGTTGCTTGATTGGTGTTGACCAAACAAGAGATTTATTTATTTTTTCGGCTAAACCTGTTAAATCAATAGTACGTAAAGCGGCATAAATATTATCTTGTGATAATCGTGTGGGAGTATTGAATGATCTTGGTACTATAACGAAAAAACAAAAATCGATATTCAAATAAAAGAAAAATATTTTATACCGTTTGAACATTCAAAGACATGGTTCTCTTTGAAATCGTCTAAATCTTCTTTGATGATGTCTTCTAAGTATGCTTTCAACTTTTCACGAAAATCAGCATTTTGAATCTTTTGTTTCATATCAGCTGGTTTCATATCATAATCAAGCCAAATAAGGAGATGTAAATGAAATGAACCTCGGCCTTGACTTTCAACAGTACCAAAATAAGCCTTTATTGGTCCAAGAACACCATCACTAATCATAGTATTTAAAATGTTAGTAATTAATAAATGAAAAAATTTTGCAGTAGCAACTGGATGAGATGCTATAATTTCAGCTCTTTTGTACGTATCCATAAGTTGATCGTTTTGGATATTGTCCAGATCAAGTTTAACACCTGCAAAGTATAATGCTACGGGGCTGTGGATATCGGCTGGATTTAAAGTAAGAAATATGCTAGGTAGTCCTTGGTTATAGATAAGTGCATGGATTCGGGTGCGTAAAGCTGTTCGTGAGTATGCTGAACCCATAACTCGGCCACCAATAGTTTTAATATGCTGCAGCAATTTGTCTAATGCATTGCTTGATTCTGAATTGTATATTCTTTTAAAATTATTGTCAAGGACTGTTTCAATATCTTTACTATTCAAAGATAGAATTTCATCAGCAGATGCTTGAAAATAAGGTTTTGTTGCTATTAATTGAGCATGAAAGCAGGCATCACGGCGTTGTAATAAATTGAAGACTACAAATATAAAACTGTGATTTGTTTCAAAACGATGATCGTTATAAGATAATAGATAACGTATGTGTTCTTTTAACTTTATCTGAACTGGACGTGATTGATCTTCAGGTGCTCCACGTCCATAACAGAATAAAGTTGGATATAGACCTGTTAATAATTTTGAATTGAAATATTTGTTGACAGGCTTCGATGAATGAGGAATTAAGTAAACATTTTCGATACCCATCTGATCCTTGTTTTCATTATTTTTAATTTTGTGCAACAAATAGGTAGCAATCTCCTCTGAAGATACTGATGCACCATTGACATCGAGAACACCACTAGAATAGAAAAAATTATCATACAACTGATTAATTAATGAGCTATATTCTTCATTCGTTTATATGATGCCACTGAGCAAAAAAAATAGTACCTAAAAAAAGAGAATATGTTGTTTTCACAAAAACACAAAAATTTGCACATGCAAATGAATATATTATATTTTCTGTCAGATTATATATTAACTCTTCCGATGCCCGACGTCATCTTCGAAATGACCTACAGAAAGAAAAAAAAATTCTTTTACGTTCTTTCGTCTTCTTATGCGATGAATATCCTGTCACATGTTCAAAGGAAAATCAATTTAGATTTCACCCACACAATTGTGATTGCTGAACACAAGAGAGAGAGTGATTAAATTATTTTTTTTTTGTGCTCATGCGGGGCGCAAGAAAATGCCGAGATTGAAAGAGTTAATGTAAACATATATTATGTTCGATTTGTTTTCTATATGATTGTGATTATAGAATGTATGTGTATTTATCTTTTCTGCAACACCACCGCTTACTCACGTTGATGAAAAAAGGCGGAGAAAACATCAAAGAAATTAGAAAGTGAAAGAAATAAGATGATGTCATTGGTGAGTGACGAATAACTTGTCGAAGAGAGAACAAAAGAGAAAGAAGATTAGAAAAAAGATGTCGTTCGTAACAGCATATTCTCTTTTCTTTAGGCACAATGTTTTTTGCTCAGTGGTATCGTACAAACGAATTGTGAATATGTCTCATTGCTCTCACCTGTTACTAATTGGAATAGTATCTGCAGTAGTATGTTCTGTTGGATCAGATAATGGATCAGGAACATATCCAACTCTTTCAGCTTGAATTTCTTCATCACCTAACATCTGTTCCATCGTTGACATAATACATTCTGGTACATCGTCTTCAGGTAATCGAGCAATATTGTTGAGATCTATATCGACATTTTGATAAAGTACGTTATGTTTCTTCAGCCATTGTAATGGTTGAATAATTTTTTTCTTGCGCACTGTTAGGACTTTTTTTAAGATGAATACGATCGAGAGGTCGAGCTCCAATAAAAATCACTTTAAGTGTATCACATAGATCGTCAAGTGTAAGTGGTAAACTATTGACGATATTTGGTACATTTTGAAGAAAGGTAATGCAGTTGCCTTTCAGTGCTGTTTGGGCAGTTGTAGTTGAATGAAAAGGCGAATGAAGTTTTATTATACAGCTGTTGTGACGATAAAATGATATCAATTTTTCTTCTGGAATCGTCAGTCCTTGTAATTCAACAGGTATATCACCTAACCACATATTATTGGCAGCTGAAAACTTAGGAATAGATCCCTTCGAAAGAGCACCATGACATTTTTGACAAATTACACAAATATCCTCTTTCTTTTGTTGAAATAAACCACTTTTGTATAAGATAACATTGTTTTGACAATAAAACGACGATAAATCAAAAGTTGAAGGATCTGAAATAATTATAGGGTTCGTATAAATTTTTAAATTGTAAAAATCAGTTATTACTTTTAGCGCTTCCAGTTATCGCTATACTGTTGTTGTTGAGCATTTCTGTATCCTTTCTTGAATTTTGCAGTGATGTTGATCGGACGTTTATAATTAAATCATTGAGTTCTTCAGAAACTTTAAGTAAATGGATATTAGGAATATTTGAGATTGGTATTTTCTTTGAATCTTTTGCTGAAGTACGAACATTGCAAACTGCACACGTTGCTTCAGCCAGTACTGACATGGACATGTGTTCTAAAAATTGTTGCAAACGAGTTTCTTTCAAGTCACGAGGAATTGGTTCTGGCCAAGATGGACGAATGGAGAACTGGATCCCGGTATTTCCTTGTTCAATATCAATGTTTTTATGTATCTGTTTTTCAAGTTTCTTTTTAACTCTATTCGTTTGATTTCGTTTTCTTTGCTGCCGAGTCGGGTCCGACGCTTTTCTTCTAATTCATTTGTTCGACTGGATTGAGTTCGTTCTCTATTCCTATCAAGCCGAATCTGATGTTGTTCTTCTGATTCATCTCTTCGACTGGATTGAGTTCGTTCCTTGTTTTTTTCAAGTCGAACTGGATGTTGTTCTTCTGATTCATTTTCTCGACTGGATTGAGCTCGTTCCTTGTTCTTCTCGCGTCGAATTTGATGCTGTTCTTCTGTTTCATTCATTCGAAGCGATCGACTTCGTTCTCTATCTTTTTCAAGTCGAATCTGTCTTTGTTTTTCTGTTTCCTTCATTCGACTTGATCCACTTTGTTCTCTTTTCTTCTCAAGTAGATTTTGACGTTGTTCTTTTTTGTCATTCTTTTCCTTGTCCATTGAATCTGCAATAATTGGTTGATTGAAGTTATTCCCGATATTGTCCTCAGTTCGTAAACGTCTACTAGCAGATGACTGGAATACAGGAGTTCTTATTTGACTAACCGTATTATTCTTAAATGTATTTTTTTCAGGAGTCTAAATAAATTTTAAAGTTGCCGAATTTTTGTTTACAAATTAACAACTTACAACAGGCAGTGACGTTGATTAATTACCATTGTTAGAATCATTATGAATAGCTTGTGAAATGAGTGGAACAAAGTGATTTGGACTCCATGTGCCATTATTTGCCTCTCGAGCATCTTTTTCATTCAAGGCATATGACCACATAATTACAATATTACAATTAGCAATAATAGGTGAAACAGGCGTAAAGACGTTATCCCAAATTGCCATATATTGTTGAAAATCAATTTTTGGATATACACTTCGTATA